GGGGGGGGGGTAAAGGAAGTTGGCCACTGGGAAGTTGAAAGTAGTAAATTGATCACGTTGGTACCACATCTCTTGGGCAGATAAACCCTTGTCATTTTGCTGTGGCGATGGCCAGTGTTGACGAGAGACAGGACCATCTTCTGGGGAGATGCAAAGTTCATCTACATATGGAACCCAGGAGCAGGATCTACTCTGATTACTGTACAGGGTCCAGAAATCAGGCATACTGTAGCTCAAGGCAGAGCCTGGTGAGAGGGTCTCGCGCGTTCGTCTTTTATAATGCAAGATGTAGTAAAAGAAGAGTCGTCATCATCAAAACAGTTCCCAGGTTTGCGTTTAACAACATCGCGTAATATACGTTACTGTTGAAGGCGTATTTCAAATTGATATGCAAACTAGTATGCCGTAAGGAACTACAGTACATCATGTCCGTGAACTCTGCCCACGAAGTAAATGACGTCACAATGTAACTTTAATTTGAAAACAGATTAGCAAGAAAAGATATAAATAATCCGCCATTTTCGGTGGCAAGAATCATAGCGAGGACTCCGGACAGTAAGGAAATGCCTGTCCTAAATCGCCAGAAATTGTCCTAACAATTACCGTACTTGTGATATTACTCTGTCCGTACTAAACATTTCGATGACATATGAACAATTGCTAGCAAACAAAATAGAAGCACATATTACATTTTTACATCTCAGTGCATGTGATGCATTACCTGGAAAATTCTGTGGTAAGTCTCATGATATGCAATGCAAGAGGATTTACTCCAGATGGAAGATTCTTTTCTGCGGCGCTCAACGGCATAGTTTCACCTGTGTCCAAATTTCGCACAACCACTGCCTCAAGTATTTCCTGTTGTAAATTAGATTAAATATTAAAATAAAACAACAAAATTAAATTCAAAAACCGAATCTCTCACGATGTTAATAAATTGAACAAAAACAGAATGTGGCTCTCTACTCTACTCAGCTTTACTCCTTTATTTAATGCTGTTCTAGGTATTGTTTATTTCAAGGTCCTCGAGACATGTATGGTACATATTTTAAAAAATGAAAATTTTCTGGTAATCAGAAATATTTCCTCAGATATCTCTGGTTTTGCAAATAGTGGGGTTTGCCCTGATTGTTTTGTTACCTTGAAGAGATTTTGCTACCTTAAAAATGCAAAAACGGTAAAATAACTATTCAAATAACTTCTCTTGTTTTCAAATAACAATTCTGTTTGGAACACTGCGTATTCCAGAACACGTCCGGAGTCCGGAACTAGTTCAATTTCCGTTTCAAAACGTTCTGGATGCGTGTAAGAGAAAATGTGTGTACCCGTTAGGCCGTTCCCCAATTTGAAGTCCACAACTGCCTTCCAGGGTGCGATAATTCAATATTTTTAGCCGTACCTGACTGGTACTCCGACAACTTTTGCCGCGTACCTGATCTGGTACAAACTTAAGAGTCATGACGTACCTAAGACTACTTCCGAGTCATGCGTTTTTATACCTACGTATAGTTTACTGGTCCAAAAGCAAAAAATGTATGGGCAATTTTGTACAAATGAATCTTTAATTATGGTATTTGTACAACATAATATAACACTTTTCAAAGCGTCGACGTTGCGACTCGAATGCCATCGCTCATTTACAGTGGATTTACCGAGGGTGCTAACAGTCTGACCGCAGCTACATACAGTGTAGTTTTCCTCATTGGGCCTAAAAAAAACCTGTGGTTCCGGTTTCATATCGCGAAAAATTCGGGGTAGGTAGGTGGGAAAAAATGGTTTTGGCGGTTTTTTGCTGGGCGATTTTCAGTAGAGTCCAGACATCAATATTAACTAGAGATGCGTAGTTCCTACGGACGAATTTAGGCAATTTGGTTCAATAATAATTATTGTGACAACAGACGCCATTTTTTTGCACGCTGTACGAGCAGCCCGCAACCACCCGGAGTAAATAGGCCTAGGTCGCACGGTCAATCGTGTTGAAAAAAATAATAGGGTTGGCAGAAAAAAATAGGGTCGGTCGGGAACCGGAACCACAGGTATTTTTTTAGGCTTTGGTACTAGCATTGACAATTAAGCCCAGGTCACACCACACAACGATAACGATAACTTGTAAACACGCAAGAAAATTATGTTAGTGTCCACACTACAACGAAAACGATAAAATTATCGGCGTTTGACGACAACGATTTTTAAATCTCTCACTCGGACGATGGATAAACAGGGGCGTAGGAAGCTTCTAAAAGTTGGGGGGGGGGGAGGCAGGCTTCGATGGGAACTTTTCGAATAAAAAAGGCATCTAAAAAATTTTTCCCGGAAATGTTGGCGACGGGGGGGAGGTCATCTCAAAAACATTTTCCGGACATACCAAAAACATTTTCCGGATATGCCACATTTTTTCCTAAATATGAAAAAAAATTTTCCGGATATACCAAAAGTGCTCTTTGCCCTTTGGGCCAAAAAATGCAATCTTAATGACATTTTTCACCGAAGAAAAGGGCACTTTGCTCCCGGAAAAAGGGCAATTGGCAAAACTTGGGGGCCTGCCCCCCCCCCCGGTTCCTAACGCCCTGACGATAAATTTTTTGATCAAGCACAAAGATTAAAAAGATTGGCTTTTTTCATCCCAAAATATGTCGGATGCGTGGAATTTACATGTACAGCTATTTGTACAGCTAAAGTTCTTCACGGTTTTGCCTACTTAGGTAGGTTTGCTAGTTATTGCTAGAAGGAAAATGTAGGTACGCCAATAGTAAATTTCCGCGTACCTACGTGGTACTTGGCTAAAAACAAAGAAGTACCAGACCATACATTTGGCGTACCTCCGGTACGTTGGTACGCGAATTATCGCACCCTGCCTTCTCGCAACAGGAATCTCTGGAGTATCGAGTGGTTTACACCAGACGAATTACACGAATGATTGAATAGCAGCAAAAATCAACTTTACATGTAGACGCGGGCTCTTTATAAATGACGTAATATTGATAGGTTTTGAAATCTCTTGGAAATAATAATGAGAGGTGCAATGGTAATTGTAAGCCAAATAGCTGTATATACTCACTGACACTGGTAACTGAGAATGAATTGAAATTATGAAAAATTGTGAGCATAGAATACCTGATCAGTGAGTTGTGAACCAACTGCCGCCGAAGCAGTAGGCGTTTTCTCAGTATTATTTAAACTTCCAAGTGACACTTGGGAGCCAGAACGTTTTGACTTTTCTTGAAATGACATATTACTTGAAACACTACAGAAACTTCCAATAGATGAAATAGATTGTGATTTATTCCTTTGTAAATGTAACGGTGATATGACTTCAGTGCAGCTATTCCTGTCCAATATTTCACTCATTTCTTGAGTACTAATGTCCAGATCTGAATCTACAGTTTCTTCAACATTTGGAAGGTCAGCTACGTTTTCATCATCAATTGTAATTGGGTTTTGTTCCACCTTTACATCCTCTGAATGTGTAGTATCGTCTTGTTCAGTTTTCTCCGGACGAATATAGGACTTAAAGTTTTCATTGCTTGTTGAGTTCTGTTCAAAAGAAATATAACTGAGATTAAGGGCCTGTTTATATGATCCCGCCTAGCCGGGATAATACGTTTTCATCCCGCCTAGCCGGGAAACTCGTCTATGCAGGATAGCATGTTAATATGGACAAAATACATTGCCAGGACACAGAATAGGAAGGTACAGCAGAAGCACAGATGATAGATAGTACCAGATGTCTCACTCTATACCTATCCCTATGATTTTCGTGTCCGCGATTTTCGCGAGGCTATCACGCCAGATGACGCGTGCGACACTTACTGCCAAAATGGCGCTTACTGCCAAAATGCGTGATTGCTCACGTTTCATGGCGTGGATTACATTTACTGCCAAAATGGCGGCCAGCGCGTGCTCATAAAAAATCGCGAACACAATTTTGGCTGAGTGAGACATCTGGTATTATCTATCATCTGTGGCAGAAGTGTAACTTGAGAGTTGGTTCCTTTATTGTTTTACGTCCACAAAAATTTTAACTCGCTCACGCCATCCTGGCTAGTACAACCGGAAGTTTTTATCAGGTTTTGGTAGGTACAAAGTGCCTGTTGTACTAGCCAGGATGGCGTGATTGATGACGAATTGCTTGTAAAAACGCGGACAAATACTTGCTTGAGTTACACTTCTGCTATACCTTCCTATTCTGTGGCCAGGATGAAGCCATTTAAGCAATATACCTTATGTATAATGATGTCACAAGGTTTGATGTCCGCGAGGAATGTTACGGGCCGGGATAATTTCGATAGTGGCCATTTTGAATTGTTTAATTTTCCCAGGTGATGACGACTAAAACCAGCATTCCTCGCGGGCATCAAGCCTTGTTTCAAGCCATATTTTTGCAGCAAAGGCATTTACACATGCTCATAATGTTTATATGGGAATTTTTCATCCCTTCACGGCTAAATTTTAATGAACGGTCATGGACGGCCGAAGGGAATATTTTCCTTAAATAGCAACCTACAAGCTTTGTAATATTTTTTCGCCATATTTTTGTAAGACGCGCCATGTTTTTGTAACCATTTTGATGATTCTCGCATGAAGTATCAAGGAGAATAATGTGAAACCGCTGTTTTAAACAACAGCAATTGCTTTATCGCTCGAGCGCCATGTCACAGTTACGGTAGTGATCATACCATACGTGTGCTTTTACTAATTTAATGACGGAAATGTGCATCTAAAACTCTATTAACTGTGGTTCAACGAATAAAATACCACAATTCCTGAACAACAGAAAGTTGCGGCCACACCCAAAAACATGTGACCATGCCACAAAAATATGTTGCCACGCCCACAAAATTATTTTGGATGGCCACTTTTGAAATCCTTGAACAAGAAATCAAAATTTGATTTGGATTTTACTTGACCAGCAATGCTGTTTCATACAGTTGAGAATATCCCAAAGTACTATAAGCTAAACTATACAGTATTATACACATTACTATACAGTGCAATTTAAATAACACATTCATTAGCTAATATATTCATTTCACTATCATGATGTGCAGTAATATTCACCTGAGTCTTGTCTAGTTGTTTCTTGTTCTTCTTTTTACGTCTTGGTGGTGCTACAGGAGCTTGGTTTGAATTGTTTGTTTTGTCTGAATTATTTTTATCAATTTCTTTCTGTTTCCCTTGATTGCATTCTTCTGTTTTCACTTCTGAAGTTTCCATTTCATGTTCCTTTATGTCACTATGAGGCACACATTTAACTTCATTTTGTGATTCATGCTCATTAGAAAGAGAAGGAGGTTGAACTGTATCAACAGTTTTGTTATCTACAACATGTTGTTTTTCATCCACACTGGTGGACATAGTGCCATCTGGTTCATCCTGTACCACAACAAAATATACATTTTATTTACAAATACTGCTGTGGGTTCTAATTACAGTATGACTGGGCATATATTAACCAAACTATCTGGCAGTATCTGCCCATGTGTCAAGTTAACCCATATTTATGTTGATGTGCCATAATATGCCCTACTTTATTAATTTATAGGGATGCGCCGGATACTGTTTTGCCGGATACCAGATAGTAGTCCACCGGATACCAGTCAGGAGAAAATGATGACCGGATACCAGATAATAACCGGATACCGGATAATAACCAGATACTTCCATACAATAATTTATTAGAAACACAACATTTTTATAGCTTAATTAACTAGTCAAATGTGGCAATGTGTTTAATACAATAAGAGTTTTTTGTCTCTTTGACCTATTTGTCTTTACCAAGGCCATATCTTATGATTCACCTTACATTGTTTACTGGTATTCAGTATATAAAATTCACTGCTGTTGGCGAACGAGCAGTTCACATCACCATCACGAAAAAAATATGTCATAATTTCGTCGTAATGCAGCGCACGCTCAGTAATTGTTTGTTTTTCACAATTTTTAAATGCCAAGTAAACTTTTCTGTTTCATGGTTGCAACAAAATATCTTACAGTACTATCCGGTAAATATCCGGCAAATTTATACCGGATAGTGCCGGATGTCTAAATTTTACTGGATATCGGATGCCGGTATCCGGATCTGGCACATCCCTATTAATTTACTCCATATACTGTAATGCCAGACAATTTTACTCATCAAGGGGATAGTGCTGGAGCTTTAACTAAAGTAGCACAAAATCTATACAAGTTGACTGTTTGAAAACTATTCAATTCTATCAAGAGCCTTGTTTTATTCTTTTGAGAAGTGTTTTCTGAACATAGCCACCTTAGTACCGTCTCAGATTGATAGGTATACAACTACCTGAAAAATACAAGGAGGTCAATCGACGTTTCTCGATGAAGGGGCTTCACTCAAAATGTCAAAGTTCTCCTTATATTTTCTGGTAGTTGTAATTAATTCAAAGCTTTCTTATTACTGACACTACCTACACTGCCCCCAGACTGTTCAAAATTATATCACCTTAGTACAGCTAGAACATGTGCTGCACATGTGCAAATCATGTGATCATTGAAACATTCAAATATTAAATATGTGTAAACTGTCAATAACTTGTCAAATCTACTGTTTCATTGTGCCATATTTTATGCTTAATCACACATCAATTTTTCTAAAGAAAGTTAGAACTGAAAAAATCATGGTTACATTTCAAAAGTAAACAAAAAAGTGAAAATCTATGACAATTTTGAAGACTGACCTTGGAGGCACCTTTGCTGACAGACAATAACTCAAAATCTCCCCTACATAAAATCAACAAAAACAATTCTGATATAATCTGACAACAAACAAATGAACTGTCAGAAAATGGCCATTTATTTACCTGATAATAGGCGAGTCATCACCGGATCTCGTATTGACACTGTCGCTTTTCTCAGGAGTTGAAATAGTTGGATATTCTGATGCGTCGTAAAATTCATCACCATCGCTTTCACCATCCATCACACAAGTTTAATAATTCATGTTTTAAACATAGTTATGTTCTTGGTTGGTAGGGAAAAGTTTTTAAAGTCTTCTTGTATATCATACTGTCTGTGGCTGCCAAAGCAAACACAATATTTACTGTATGACATGACAAAATCGTACATGAAATTTAATGATTATACAACCGCTGGTCTACCCGACACACATCGCGGACATCAGCATCGGATGCGCAGTGGATGCGGCCGATTTGTGCGATTCAGAAATTCGGCGCGATTTTTAAATTTTGAAATATCAAACCTATCTTCGATTGCACCAGGAGCAAATCGCGTGCGCAGCAGTGCAGAATAGATTCCCGGCCAGTGCATTTCGCGTTTACACTGTTATGCATGGGCTTCGGTGGCGAAGTGGTTAGCGCACTTGCCTTTCATGACACCCCTTTCACCGGGATATCCAAACACGAGAAAACAACTATATGAAAACACGAGCGCGAAGCAAGAGTGTTTTCATACATTGTTTTCGAGTGTTTGGATATCCCGGTGAGACACGAGCTCGAGTTGTTTATATGGCTTCTCAAATGAATCGAGACGTAACAGAATGTTTTCGTTTGCTGATTTGAATAGAATTCTTAACCAAGCATAACGTAATTAGGAATTCTATTCAAGTAATTTTGCATGCGTAATTAAGATATTTGATGAAAACACTAGTGACTTTCATCAATTTAAGACAATTTTCACCGGGTTATCCAAATGGCACTTGTGATCAAATAGGTGATTATCAATTGGCTGAATTGCTCATGAATTATTAATGAATTTGAGAAGTATATTTTCTTTCTTTCGTAAAGGTGGAGTAATACGAGCAACAAAATTGCTGCGACTTGCGACAAAATCTGATTTCAACGCATGTTAAGTAGAAATGTTGACACATGTTGCCTCGTGATTTGTAATGTATGTGCAAACATTTTCAATTAAGAAATTTACTGTGTTGGTGTAATGTACTCAGATGATTGAATAAGATGTTTGTGTGATGTTACTCGAACCTACGACCTTTGGAATACCAGCCCAATGCTCTGCCAACTGAGCTACGCGGTCAGGACGGTTCGAGTATGCGATATTTCGGAACTGGTTCTAGTTCCTTCGATATCCGCGTAACAGGGCCTTTTTTAACATACAAGCTGGGGGGGGGGCAAATGCCCCCCCCAGTTCCCCCTTGTGCCCCCCCACGAAATCACATTTTGCCCCCCCCCCAGGAAAAGTCCCTTTTCCCTAAAATTATAGAAACAAACCAGCGAAGATTAACAAATACATAAACGGAAAGTAAGTTTTAGGCTTTATCCTTTGTCCTTGTTTAACAAAATCGATTTAAATTGTTACTTTTTTCTACCACTAAGTAATGATAAATTATTGTTAATAATTTTTTATTTTTTGGATGCTTAGAATGCAGGAAATAGCATTTCCGGGTTTCAAATTTCAAAAATTTTCTGGGGATTATCCCTCTAATAAGTAATAATAAATTACAGTTAATATTCTTTTTTACTTTTTGTGCATTTTTTCCATCTTTTATTTCACTTAATACAAGTATAGTTAGCATAAATTTTAGAGCAAATTTGGATGCTCAGAATGCAGGAAATGGCATTTCCGTGCTTCAAATGTCAAAAATTTTCTGGGGAGTACATCCCCACACACCTGACCATTGCCATCCTCCTCTAATAAGTAACGATAAATGATGGTTAATTTTTTTTTACTTTTTGTTCGTCTTTTCCTTTATTTATTTCAAATACAAGTATAGTTAGCATAAATTTTGGAGCAAATTTGGATGCTCAGAATGCAGGAAATGACATTTCCGGGATTCAAATTTCAAAAATTTGAATCCCGGAAATGTCATTTCCTGCATTCTGAGCATCCACCCCCATTCATGCGTGGTATATTGGCCACACACGTAGCCTTCAGCCATTGCTATCCCCTCTAATATATTACTGATCTCACAGAAAAGTCCCTTTTCAAAAAATGCCCCCCCCCCCATGGGAAAATCCTTAAAAAAGGCCCTGCAGTGTAATCTAATAATCATGAAATTTGCTGTGTTGGTGTAATGTACTCAGGTGAATAAGATATTTGTGTGATGTTACTCTTGGGCTGGTATTCCAAAGGTCATAGGTTCGATTCCCACCGTGGCCAGGCATGTTTTTCAAGCCTGCCCGGTGTGGATATACACTCAGAGTAACATCACACAAACATCAAACATTTTCAATTAACATGCGTAGAAATCAAATTTTGTTGCAAGTTGCAGTAATTTTGTTGCCCGTATTACTCATCAATAGTAATAGTATCAAGAGTAATACTTCATCAATTTTCACCGGGTTATCCAAATGGCACTTGTGATCTAATAGGTGATTATCATTGGCTGAATTGCTCATGAATTATTAATGATTTGAGAAGTATATTTCTTTCTTTCGTAAGGGCAACAAAATTGCTGCAAATTGCAACAAAATCTGATTTCTACGCATGTTAATTGAACATGTTTGCACATACATTACAAATCACGAGGCAACATGTGTCAACATTGCTACTTAACATGCGTTGAAATCAGATTTTGTTGCAAGTTGCAGCAATTTTGTTGCTCGTATTACTTGAGGCTTGAACCTGCGACCTTAGAGGAAAGGCAACTGTTTTTAATATTCTCCCAACACCATCTTGTATTCTATTGACGCTGAAACCTAGTTGGGACACTCATCAAACCTCTATTTTATTAATCTAGAGCTTGAAATGCGCCCGCAACTCTCTTCAACTCTCATCCTCGTTTGATTAGGGAAAGTACATTTATTACACCGAGGGAGGGGGATGAAGATGTCTTGAAAAAAGCTCATATTTTTACAGGGCCCCTGTTGAGGTTATCGGTAAATTTCGATGCCCCCCCTCCAAGTTTTTAAAATTTTCAATGCCCCCCCTCTAGAATTCGGAATCGAAGGAGTACAATCCAGAATTCTCTCTTATCATAGATACAATTTGCAGTTCCTCAAGATGTCTGATATACTCAAGCATGTGCTTCTCCTCAACAAAACTACCGATCTGCTGCTTCTTTCACTTCACTAGCGCCAGATGAAATGGCACCGTCTTTAAAACATTTTAAATTGGCTCTAGGGGTGAAATTATCAACAGGTTGTTGTTGTCCATCATTCAGCGTATTCGGAGTCTTGAACACGTTCATGTAGTGGCCAGGATTTCCTGGATCAGGGTAATGTGCTGGAACCTTACAGTATGTCGCCCCCACCCAACGTATCTCCCGGCATCTGTTGCAAATGTCTTTGCATGCCTGTCAAAAATGCATGCAAAAGTGCCAGTATGCTTCAATTTCTTTAATTTCCATCCCGTTTGTACGAAATATCCCATAAACATAGAACATATCATTCTTGCAAATCGTATATGCTTTTTTGGAACTGCTACTCTTTGGCGCGTAAATTACTTCACAAACCTGGCGCCAAAAAATTTAAAATAAGCTATAGGTGATTTCATGTATCCATTTAGAAGAGCAGACTAAGGATATCTTAAAACTGAAATCGGTTTCGAATACAACCATCAGGGACGTAGCAAAGCATCTGACGTTTGGGGGGGGGGGGATGTCAGAGGATTATACGTGTAATAATTATAATAAAGCTTTTTGTGATTGTTTGGCACTTGTTTGGCACTCTTTGGGAGAAACGGGGGGTCTGGGGGTCCTCCCCCCGAAAATTTTTACATTTTTGAAGCTCTAGGACTGAATTTCTGGCGTTTTCTAAAGCAAATTTCGCAAACAACTTGCATGTAAATTGACTGTATTTTACAAAAATGGTTATCATTTCACAAAAATAATTACTTTATTACGCAAATTTTACCTGAAAATGTAAAAATTTTAACTTTAATTTGCTGGGGTCAAACCTTTGAAAAGTTTAGAGCCCCCCCTTCAGTATATCAAGAACTTTCAGAGCCCCCCCTTTAATGCCAGAAAATATTTCGGAGCCCCCCCTTAACATCTTCATCCCCCCCTCGGCATAATAAATGTACTTTCCCTTAGCACTTAATACTGATTATTGTATGAAGAATAGTCGAAGAATAGTTTTTATTACTAGAACTGCGCAAGGATAGAAAGGATTCTACTGTAAAATAATTCATTAACGAGAAGTGCGTCAATTAGATATCATCGCATGTGATGTGACTGTTTGTGACAGAAAATAATAACTGCAGGTCAGTATGTATTGAGCGCGTGACTGTGCACACAAGTGTCGATCTCCCTGATATTAGGTGCAGTTCCTGCCATAGTGCTTAATATTTGATTCCACATCCTGCACGCACATCAATTGAGACGGGAAGGCTCTTAGTACTTGACTGATTTTCTAGTCAGACACAAGAAAGGTTACAAAAACACACCCAAACAGTCTATTTGCAGTTTGTACGCGAGGGTGATGTTTTAGTCAAGTCCCAGACCCTCTCCTGGACGCACTGTGCAGTAGAGAAGGATTATTATTATAACAACACAACAACAACAACAACAATTTAATCCATAAATAAAACATACGTACTTACACATAAGAAACTTTTTACAATACTTAGGACGCTGACTTCCCAAAATAACCACCAGGCACTAAGCCGAAGATGCTGGGAAGCCAGTTTACAATAATGTTAATGACTAAATTACATAAAGCACACTGCAAATTTATAGCAAAAATTACAATTATACTGTATACACACGCAAAGACAGAGACATATATAATACAAACGTAACATATACTTGAGTTTTTTTTGTTATTTTTACAAAATTAGTATTTACTTAAAAAATCTTGTTTTAAATATTTTTTGAATTTTTTAAATGAAAGAGACTTAACATGAAAACCAATTGCATTCCAAACTATAGGTCCTTGGAATCGTACATTGAATTTACCATAATTTGTTCTTATTTTTGGGAGATAGAAAGACTGTGTAGCCAATGAACGTGTATTATCATTGTGGACATTTTCCACTGGCGTAAAAAAAAAACAATTCAAAGGCAGGAGGTAACATCTGATGATGAAATTTAAACATAAATATAATATTGCAATATGTAGGGTAACAAGATCACACAGCTGTATAATCTTCAACGATTTAAGTATTGAGCTAGAGTGCTCATCAAATTTAGAAAAAGTCATAATACGAATAGCCCTTTTTTGAAGCACAAAAAGTGGCTGAATAGTTGAAGGGTAAGTGTTTCCCCAAATGATTAGCGAGAATATTAGAAAGGGATAACTTGAACCATAGCATAATACATATAGTTATCAATGTATTAGTACAGTAACTTTCAAAATAGTGCAACGTAGATAAGACTCCGATGCTTCTCTTAATTTTTGTTCCAGTTGAATATTATTCAGGGTTAACTGAATGTTGGAGTGTAACCTTCTCTGAAATGGATGGAAAATATCCAAAATAACAAAGTTTGATTTTTCTATGTTTAAAGACAACCGGTTAGCACAAAGTCAAATGTAAACCTTATCTAACTCGTGATTTAGATTAGATTGTAGATTTTCTAAACTTGCGTTTCTATAAAATACGTTGGTGTCATGAGCAAATAAATGAAAGTCAAATAAGGATGAAGAGTGATGAAAATCGTTTATATAAATCAAGAATAATATTGGACCAAGAACGGATCCTTGAGGTACACTACAGGAAATTATTGATGGGTCAGAGCTTATGTTATTTAATGTCTTTCATTTCAGCATCACGCTGAGCTAGTTTTGTGATATTTTCATCGTACTTTTCATTTTCAAACGCCCCAGAAACGCTCTCATTTCTTCAGATTTTGCCTTCACTTCTGAAATCTCCGATTTTAGTGAAGCCAATTTTTCGTCTAAAATCGCTTTGAAGTTTGAACTCCTCTACACTTATCATGTTCTTTGACATCTCCAATATTTTTACAGATACGAATACAAAAACAAAACAAATAATAATATAATTGTTCAAAAAGATCGATAAATAGTAGATTTAACTAATCTAACACCATCTTGAAACTGGTGCTTCCACTTCTGTGTAAACTCTGTGTAAAAATATTTGAATGTTGGGTGCCAGTTTAAATATTACACCAAAATAATAGCATGAATTGAAATCTATAGGCAGGGACGCCGGAACAATGTGAAGGCAAGGGGGCAGATTTTCTTAAAAGGGCACTTTTGAATTGATATTTTCTAAGAGATGTTTGCAAAACATCGGGAGTTGAACTTCGCCTAATCATGTTTTCTATTTATTGGATGATAAGGGTGTGAGGGGGTTCTCCGCTCCGATTGTGCATAGATAGTGGACTATCTATGGATTGTGCTATTCTTGAAGCTCGATAACTGCATTTCTTGCGTTTTCTGAAGCAAATTCGTAAAAGAATTGCACTGACAATTCGCTACAATTCGCTAACTGCACTGACAATTTCTGAAAATTCGCTACTTCGCCAAGGCAATCTTTTAAATTGAAAGGGCACCTTTGCCCCCCTTGCTCCTCCTGGTAAAGGGCAGCGGAGGCGGCTGCCCCTCCTGCCCCCCCCCCCCC